TGGATTCAATTAATCCAGGTTCAATTAATCCAGGTTCAGTTAAATTGGATTCAATTAATCCAGGTTCAGTTAAATTGGATTCAATTAATCCAGGTTCAGTTAAATTGGATTCAATTAATCCAGGTTCAGTTAAATTGGATTCAATTAATCCAGGTTCAGTTAAATTGGATTCATTTAATCCAGGTTCATTTAGTTCTGGCTCAATTAATCCAGGTTCAGTTAAACTGGGTTCTATTAATGCGGGTTCAGTTAATCCAGGTTCAGTTAAAATGGATTCAATTAATCCGGGTTCAATTAATCCAGGTTCAGTTAAACTGTGTTCAGTTAATCCAAATTCAATTAAACTGGATTCAATTAATCCAGGTTCAATTAATCCCAGTTCAGTTAATCCAGGTTCAATTAATCCAAGTTCAATTCATCTGAATTCCAATCAATCCAAATTCCAATTAATCTGAATCAATTAATTCACGTTCAGTTAAAGTGGATTCAATTAATCCAAGTTCCAATTAATCCTGGTTCAATTAATCTGGGTTCAATTCACCGTAGCCATCGTGGGGCCACCCCAGGCCTTGGGGACGGTGGCTTCGTGCCACTGTGGTGTTTTCGGCACAACCCCCGCTCGCTCCAGCTCCGTCTCATCAATTCACTTAATTTTCCCTCCCTTTCGACGCCGTTCCCAGCTCCCGGCGCGTCCCCATGGATCTCCTCACCGGCCTTGGTTGTGCCTGTGCCGGGCTGGTGGCGGCGGCACTGCTGGTGTTGGCCCATCGCTTGGGGCTCCTCTACCAGCTCTACCATAAGGTAGGATGAAACCACCATGATTTTGCCCCAAAACCAACTATTTTTTACGTGGTCCCAACTGGTGACTCGACAACGGGATGGTGACACCACACGTGTCCTCCTGGTCAACTCCTCATCGCGCAGGTGGATCCCCAAAGTCCCCGGCACGGCGGTGAGTTGGTGGCTGAGGTGCTGAAGGCACACGGCGTCCGCTTCCTCTTCACCCTGGCTGGTGGCCACATCTCACCCATCTTGGTGGCCAGCGAGAAGGTTGGCATCCGCGTGGTGGACACCCGGCATGAGGCCACCGCCGTCTTTGCTGCTGATGCTGTCTCCAGGCTCTCAGGTGTGGATATGGAGGGGGACCTCATGGACAGCACCTTCTCCTGCCCCAGTGGATAGAAGGTGGGGTTCTGGTTGACCTCAGAAGAGTTCAAAGACTTTGTGGGTGTTCAGGGTCCGTCCATGGTGGGTCTTCTCCCCATTTTTTTACCCCCTGGAGATAGTTTGTCAGCTCAGGTGAGGTTAGAACAAGGCGATGGTGACCCCATGGCCAACAGCTTCTCCTGCCTCAATGGATGGAGGGTTTTGGGGTGTCCCAAAAATCGGGGTGCAGATGGACCCCCTTCCACCACCCCTTCATTTCCTCACAGGTCGCATTGGTGTCGCCACCGTCACTGCTGGTCCCGGTGTCACCAACACGGTGACAGCCGTCAAGAACGCCCAGATGGCCGAGTCCCCGCTGCTGCTCATCGGTGGAGCAGCCGCCACGCTGCAGAAGGTGGGGAACCCCCAAAAACCCTCAGAACCCCATTTTGGGGGGCTTTTCACCCATTTTGGGGTGCTTTAAAACATTTTGGGGGTTTTTTCCCCCCATTTTGGGGCTTTTACCGTTTTTTTGGGAGTGTTCCCCCCATTTTTGGGGAGTTACCCCCATTTTTGTGTGTTTGCCCCATTTAGGGGGGTTTTAACACATTTTGGGGGGTTTTACCACATTTTGGGAGGTTTTCTGCGTTTTTTGGGGTCTTTACCACATTTTGGGAGGATTTCTTCTATTCGTTACCCCCATTTTTGTGTGTTTGCCCCATTTTGGGGGGTTTTAACACATTTTTGGGGGTTTTACCACATTTTTTGAGGTTTTCTGCCATTTTTGGGGTCTTTACCACATTTTGAGGGGATTTCTTCTATTTTGGGGGTTTTTACCACATTTTTAGGAAAGTTTACCCCATTTTGGGGGTTTTTAACACATTTTGGGGGTTTTTAACACATTTTGGGGGTTTTTAACACATTTTGGGGGTGAGTTACCCCCATTTTTGTGTGTTTGCCCCATTTAGGGGGGTTTTAACACATTTTGGGGGGTTTTACCACATTTTGGGAGGTTTTCTGCGTTTTTTGGGGTCTTTACCACATTTTGGGAGGATTTCTTCTATTCTGGGGGTTTTTACCACATTTTTAGGAACGTTTACCCCATTTTGGGGTTTTTAACATATTTTGGGGGAGTTTCCCCCCATTTTTGCGTGGTTTTCTCCCATGTTTGGGGTTTTCTTTCCCCTTATTTTGGGCAGTTTCACCACATTTTAGGGGGTGTTTCCCCCCATTTTGGGGAGGGGGTTCTCAATTTTGGGGGGTTTTGTCACATTTTTGGGGTCTTTTCCCCCACTTTTGAATGTTTTACCACATTTTTGGGGGAGTTTTCTCCCCATTTATGAGGCTTTACCACATTTTTGGGGGGAGTTTCCCCCCATTTTGGGGAGTTTTACCATTTTTTGGTGGGTTTTCCCCATTTTGGCAGGATTTTACCCCATTTTTGGGGTTCCATGTTTCTTTTTCTTCTCTTGGCAGGGTCGAGGAGCTCTGCAGGACATCGACCAGCTCTCGCTCTTCAAAACCCTCTGCAAATCTTGTGTCTCGGTCCGCGCCGTCCGCGACATCGTCCCTGCGCTCCGCAAAGCCATCGTCACTGCGCAGTCGGGGACACCCGGTAAAAAAATTAGGGGTGGGGGGGACACCCCAGAAAATACCCCCAGGGTGCTTGGGGTGGATTTTTTCTCTACAGTGGGGTTTTTTTTTTTCCACAATGGGTTTTTTTTCTTCGCAACGGGGTTTTTCTTCTCCACCAACAAGGTTTTCAGCGGCGTTTTGAGGCACTGCTGTTGGAATTTGGAGGTTTTAATCCCTAAAAATTGATTTTGGGGTGACATTGGGGGGGTCCCCACCCCTTTTTTGCACCCCAATTCTGTAGGACCTGTCTTCGTGGAGCTCCCCATCGATGTTCTCTACCCATTCCGGGTGGTGGAGAAGGAGATTGGTGGCACCAAGAGCGCTCGGGGACTGCGGGGAAGGGTGGTCCAGTGGTCAGTTGAAGCCCCACCCAGCACCCTAGGGTGCTGCTGGCACCCTAAAGGGTCCCAGCACCCCAATATTCACCCCCCCACACCCCAACAGGTACCTCCAAAACTACATCCGTAACCTCTTTGCGGGTGCCTGGGAGCCATGGGATGTGTCACCGTTGCCCGTTCAGGTGCCACTGGCCACCGAGGATGAGGTGTGTTTTAGGGGGACACCACCCACCCCACCATAGATTGGGGGCCTGGGGGTGTCTATGGGTGAGTGGAGGACATTGTGGGGTGAGGTGGGTTTGGGGGGTCAGGGGTGGGTTTTGGGATTAAATCAGCTGGTTTTGGGGCTCAGCTGAGCTGTGTTTTGGGACTGACTGAGCCAGTTTTGGGGTTCAGCTGAGCTGGTTTTAGGGGCTGAGCTGGTTTTGGGGCCCAACTGGTCTGATTTAGGGACACAGCTGAGCCAGTTTTGGGGCCTACATTGATTTGGGGGCTCAGCTGAGCTGGGCTTTGGGGCTGACTGAGCCAGATTTGGGGCTCAGCTGGGCTGATTTTAGGGCATAGTTGAGCCAATGTTTGGGGTTCAGCTGGGCTGGTTTTGGGGCTCAGCAGCTCTGGTCTTTGGGGCTGACTGAGCCAGTTTGGGGCTCAGCTGAGACAGTTTTAGGGCCTGAGACAGTTTTAGGGCTCAGTTGAGCCAGTTTTTGGGGCCCTACTTGAGGCTGAGCTGATTTTGGGCAATTGACTGAGCCAGATTTGGGGCTCAGCTGGGCTGGTTTTAGGGCTCAGTTGAGGTAGTTTTGGGGGATCAGATGAGTCAGTTTTGGGGCTCAGTTGAACTGGTTTTGGGGCTCAGCTGAGCCGGGGTTCCATTTGGGTGTGACAGCCAGTTTTAGGGGCTGACAGCCAGTTTTGGGGCTCAGCAGAGCTGATTTTTGGGGATAAGCTGAGCTGGTTTTTGGGGATAACTGGGCCAGTTTGGGGGCCCTACTGGGATGGTTTAGCAACCCAACTGAGCTGGTTTTGGGGATCAGCTGAGCTGGTTTTTTGGAGATAACTGAGCCAGTTTTTGGTACCCAAACGAGCTGGTTTTGGGGCTGATCGAGGTGGTTTGGGGCTCTTTTAGGCAGTTTGGGGTTGATTTAGGTGGTTTTGGGGCTGATCATGGTGGTTTTGGGTCGCAGGTGCAGTGCTGCACAGAACTGGTGAGCCGGGCCAAGAAGCCACTGGTGCTGGTGGGCAGCCAGGCCATGCTGCCACCCACGCCAGCCGAGGAGCTGCGGTGAGACGCTCCGGCGACGGATGAACTGGTTTGGGGACAGATGAACTGGTTTGGGGATGGATGAACCGGTTTGGGGTCTGGTGAGGTGGTTTGAGGATGGCTGAGCTGATTTGGGGACAGATCAGCCAGTTTGGGGTTAGATGAGCCAATGGGGGGATAACTCAGTGGGTTTGGGGACAGATGAGCCAGGTTTGGGGATGGATCATCCAATTTGGGGTCTGGTGAAGTGGTTTGAGGATGGCTGAGCTGATCTGGGGTCAGATCAGCCAGTTTGGGGATGGCTGGGTGGGTCTGGGGACAGATCAGTCAATTTGGGGTCAGATGAGCCGGTGTGGGGACAAATAATCCAAATTTGGGCCTGAGTGAGTTTTTGGGGCTAAACCAAGCCAGTTTGGGGCCCCAACTGATCTGGATTTAGGGCCAAACCAAGTCATTTTGGAGCCCCAGCTTGAGCCAGTTTGGGGACTTGACTGAGCTGGTTTTGGGGCCAAACTGAGACAGTTTGGGGCCTCAAGCAAGTTAATTTTAGGGTCAAACTGAGCTGGTTTGGGGTCTCAACTGATCTAGTTTTGGGGCCAAACTGAGTCATTTTAGAGCCCTGACTTGAGCCAGTTCGGGGCCCCGACTGAGCTGGTCTTGGGGCCAAACTGAGCCCAAACCAAGTTAGTTTTAGGGCCAAACAGAGTTGGTTTGGGGCCCCCAAACGAGCTGGTTTTGGGGTGAAACCGAGTCATTTTGGAGACCTGACCCAGCTGTTTCTGGGGCCAAACTGAGCCGGTTTGGGGCTCCAACCAAATTAGCTTTAGGGCCAAACAGAGCTGTTCTGGGACCCTGACTGATCTGGTTTTGGGGGCAAACCAAGTCATTTTGGAGCCCCAACTTGAGCCAGTTTGGGGCCCCAGCTGAGCTGGTTTTGGGGCCAAACTGAGCCAGTTTGGGGCCCTGAAAAAGACAGACTTTGAGGCTAAACCAAGCCATTTTGGAGCTCCAACTTGAGCCAGTTTGCGCCACTGACTGAGCTGGTTTTGGGGCCAAACCGAGCCCTTCTGGAGCCCAGCCGGACTGGTTTTGGCATGTGCCCACACCCACCTACCCGCAGGACGGCGCTGGAGTCCCTGGGCATCCCCTGTTACCTGGGGGGAGCAGCACGGGGGCTTCTCCCTCCCGACAGCCCCCTCCTCCTGCGCCAGAACCGCCGCGACGCCCTGCGCGATGCTGACCTGGTGCTGCTGGCAGGGACGGGATGGCGGTGGGTGGGTGTGTGTGGGGGACAGGTGGGTGTGTGTGGGTGACACCGGCCGTGTCCCTGTCACACCCTCCGTGTGTCCCTAAGGTGCCGTCTGTGATTTCCGTCTCTCCTACGGGCGTCTTTTTGGCCGTGGCGCTGCCATCGTGGCCATCAACCGGAATCGGGAGCAACTTCTCCGTAATTCTGATGTTTTCTGGAAACCTCGGCTTGCCGTGCAAGGTCAGACCCCCCCACCCTGGCTTTGTCCCCATCCTGTCCCCAACATGGGCTGCATGAGGTGTGATGAGCTGGGCGTTCTCGGCAGGTGACGCCGCCTCCTTTGTGGGGCGGTTGGCACGGAGCTTGCGGGGCTGCGGCTGCCCCAAGGACTGGCTGGAGCAGCTGCGGGATGCCGAGCGGAGGAAGGAGCAGGAGAACCGGTGAGTGCCCGTGGGATGGGGACAGGGACAGGGTACAGGGATGGGGACAGGAGGGGATGGGGACAAGGATGGAAACAGAAGAGGATGAGGATGGGGACAAGGATGGGGACAGGGACACAAAGGGATGGGGACAGGAGGGCATAGGGACAAGGACAGGGATGGGGACGGGATGGGATGGGGACAAGGACAAGGATGGGGACAGGGTACAGGGATGGGGACAGGGATGGTGACACGGAGGGGACAGGGACAAGCACAAGGGAGAAGCACAGAGAAGGTGACAAGGATGGGGACAGGGATGGGCGTGGATCTTGGCCTGTTTGCAAGGGGCTCCCCATTCCCAGTTTCGGGGGATCCCAGCCCACTTCCAACTGGGGAGGTGTCCCCATTTCCAACACTTTGGAGACCTCAATGCATTTCCAACTGGAGGGGTGTCCCCGTTCCCAGTCCTTGGAGGAGCTCAACCCATTTCCAACTGGAGGGCTCTCCATTCCCAGTTTTGGGTGATCCCACCCCATTTCCAACTGGGAGGATTTCTCCATTCCCAGTTTCAGGAGATCTCAACCCATTCCCAACAGGGAGAAGGCAGCAACTCCCACCCCCCAACACCTGAACCCCCTGGATCTCCTCCACCGCCTGGACGCGCTTCTGCCCCCCGAAAGCCTCCTCATAGCTGATGGCGGGGACTTTGTGGGCACTGCCGCCTACATCGTCCATCCCCGACGTCCCCTCGCCTGGCTGGACCCCGGTAAGGACCCCTGACGTTGTCACTGCAGCTGGGGGGATGCGGACATGCAGGTGACACCACTGGTTGTTGTCTCCATAGGAGCTTTTGGCACGTTGGGAGTTGGCGGAGGGTTCGCGCTCGGTGCCAAGCTATGCCGTCCTGACACGGAGGTACAAGGATGCGGTGGCTCGCGAGGACAGTGGCTACCGTGTCCCCTACGTGACCTCATGGTGTTTGTCACCTCCCTGGCGCCAGGTTTGGGTTCTCTACGGTGATGGCTCGTTGGGTTACAGCTTGATGGAGTTTGACACTTTTGTGCGACACAAGGTCAGGTGATGCCGAAAATGGGGGGAAAATAGGGTCTTGTTCCTGTCCCAGGGTGTCACCCAGGTGTGGTGGCCTTGTCCTTTGTCCCCTGCAGACGCCTGTCATTGCGCTGGTGGGCAACGACGCATGCTGGAGCCAGATTGCCCGGGAGCAAGTTGCTTTGCTGGGCAGCAACGTGGCATGTGGCCTCGAGTACCTAGGTGAGCACTGTCCCCACCACTCTGTCCCCAGATTTGGGAACACCT